ACTATGAAAAAAAAGGTTCAGAAAAGTAATAGCACATAATCATACACCAGTGTAGGTGTGGGTGAAATAAAAATATGAAAATGTGTTCACGCTCTAAAACACACGATGATTACATAAATGATTAATAACTTTTTAAAATCTTTTCTGGAGAATATTAAATCTTCGAAACCCGCACCCTGCAGCTTTCAACTCTCAACATTTGAAATGAAGGGAAAATGTTCGGCTGACGGATAATCGCCCAGCCCCGACCACGTATTTTCCCTACTCAGAGGCTAAATATCTATAATAACATAACTCGACAAACAGTACAGCTACAGACCATGGCATTCGACGCAAAAGCTAATATCAAATTTGTAATTGATACCAAATTGTAATTGAGCTGCTAGCCGAAGTGTGGACATCACTATTCCATCATCAAACTTTATTTAACTACTCTCTTACTGATTGCATGTTCCCGTCTCTATGAAAGAGGGTTAACGTCACACCTGTGTTCAAAAAAGACGACGCATTTGTCCTAAGCAACTACCGTCCCATATCTTTATTATCTATTATTGGCAAAATGATGGAAAGGTGTGTATACAAATATGTTTACAATTATTTAATTGTCAAATCTCTTTTGTCTCCTTGTCAGTCTGGCTTTAGATCTGTCGATTCCGCTACAAACCAACGTATATCTATTTCTAACGACATCTATTCTGCTCTAGATTAAGGTAAAGAAATCAGAATGTTTTTTTCTGTGACATTAGCAAAGCGTTCGACCGAGTGTGGCATCGTGGTCTTCTTTCTAAACTCAAAAACTTTGGCATAACAGGACATCCACTCGCTTGGTTCTCAAAATTATTTATATAATCGGTCTGAACGAGTTGTTATTAATGGTAAACAGTTTGATTTAGCATCTACTACAGCCGGGGTTCCCCAGGGGTCAATTATAGGCCCATTGTTGTTTTTAATTTTCATTAATGCTAATGTTAAAGATATCAATTGTATAATAAAATTATTTACCGATGATACTTCCCTCTACGTTATAGTGAACTTACCTGATCTTAGTGCCATCTTTTTGAACTACAATCTAAAAAGAATCCATGATTGGTCTAAAAAATGGCTTATTAACTTTAACCCTTACAACCCAGTGACAATGATTGTAAGTAAGAAAAATAACAAAACCAACTCATCCCTCCTTGTTTATGAATAACTAACTAATATACTTCCTGCTCGTCATTCCGACTTACACTCACACAATACTACAAACGCAAATAATTACTGCCAAATAAACTGTAGAACCCAGCTTCACGAGGAGTCTTTTTTACCCTCCTTTATTGACCTATGGAATGCATTCCCGATAGCATAAAGCCTAACCCGTCGATTTCTAATCTGAAAAAGTTTTTGAATGCTGAAATTCATCTTGTTCCGCCTTATTATTACTGCTACTGCAGACGTAGATTCGGCCAAATCCATCATGCACGATTATGGATGTTTCTCTCTGTAGAGAGCGAAAGTGAGTGTAACCCCTGGATATCGAGGATGGGATGAACTGTAGTTCTCTCTTTAGTCAATTATATAGACGAAACCTAGTTGGTAGTCCCATGTGTACGTGTAATCAGTTTGCTGAAACTACGAACACTTCCTCCTCTTCTGTCCGAAATACCAACAATTAAGAGAACAATGCTTCAGAAGCCTTCCTCCCGACTATAATGTAAATCTTCTTCTGTACGGAAATCCTGATATGCCAGTTAAATGTAACGAGAATATTTTCAATTGTGTCCAACATTTCATTAACCAGTCGAAACGATTTTACGGTTGAAGTTTTCAATTTTGATTACACGTATGTTTACATGTGGAACATAATGGGACTTAACTGGTACGGCCCCTGTATGTCACGACACGTCATTTTGGCCATAAATATATATACAAACCGTCATCGTCTTGTTTGATGATACTTTTGATATTTTAAAGTACACCAGGTTACTGTTCATCACTGGATGTCGGAATTCTCAGGGGTAGGAATGGAAAGTTTCCATTATATGCTATTAATTTATTGTATGTTGAATACCTCAGTGACATGTACAGTCCTGGACATGTGTCCATATCCACAATATACTCCAATCAGTTTTTCCTCCCATAATGCAGTAAATGTAAGGTACTCCTCTATATATTTTACCCCCAACAACACTTTCTTTAAACCCTTTTGCACCTCTTTCCCTTCTTCCTCCCCCATCCTCTTCTTTTCCATATACCTATATCTATATGCATAATATTCGTCAGTGCCGTCCAATCGCCGTTTTACACAAAAAAAGGAGACGGATTAACTTAAGTACTTTGTACTTGTTTTCGAATCCTATATGTCTATCATGTTTGCGTTACTGGAAATAATTATACCGATAATAAGATAAAGTTTAAACTAATATTTCATCTGATCACAAATATGATCCCTGCTCACTAGACTGTGTACATAGTACGTTTGTAGTAAGTGCAGGCTTTTTCCTCATATTAGCAATTGTAACAAATTTATTCACTTTGATGTTGATGACAGACTAAAAAATAATCTCGGTGACGCATTCTGTATTGTAGGACCGCAGTTGCGTTTGCTTTATATTTCATATGTATAAATTTTAATATATGAAATCTTTTCGGCAGAGCATTTTAATGTCGTTTTGGTTAATCATCCCGTCATTCTTCTCAAATGTGTACACCCCTCGTTTAACATCAATGTGATATACATGTATAACATAACATCTGTATTTCATGTATTTCCTCTAATGAGAGTTATTTAATATCTACATGTACCTGCCATAGTTGAGATAGCATTTTATCTGCACATAGCGAAACTAACTTCAGTTACCTCCCCTTGAACGGTTGACAGCTAAATGCCTACACATAAAATGTACATACATTTATACTACCGTTTACCTTTTCTGAAAAGGTTCTTGTAAGGTTGCTTTTAATATATTGAAACTTTCTGCTGTTAACGACATTTTCTAGAACAGAAAACGTAAAGTCCTTAATTTGAACATACAGGTTTACCTTTCGTTGTTGTTAGACAAAATGGAATTGAGTAAAACAATCAATACCAAACAAGAATAAATACGGAATGAATATTGCAACGTTTGACATGCCATAAACGTGAATTGATTCAATTGATGTGTATTCTCTTATTTTGTTGTTGTTCCATTGATGAAGCCGACATACACTATTTTAGTTTCCTTAATTTATTTATACAGTTGTCGTTTGTGCTATAAAGTGGGTAACTCAATGCGTGTTGATATCTTCGGATATCTAGATCTACGTGTACATGGAACGTTGCTCCATCAACGTATGGCAAATATGAATGGTCGTCTAGATCTGTGACAAGTTTAGGTTCTCCTTTGAATTTTTCCAATATTTTCGATGAACTCTAACTTGTAGGGAATTCAAGTTTTACTTGCAAAGTCAAGATGTGCCTGAATTATTGATAAAATAGTGAGTATAATAGAGCATACATTATGATATTTAGGTATTTGAATGGTCTTCTTAAGCCTTCATAGACTTAGCTTTTTTAATATCTACCTTGTTTGCAAATTCGAGGTTCTAATATTTTATCATTCAATTCTCATTCTCTGCTTCTGTCTCCCCTTTCTTATATATCTGCAAACTTGAGCATCGTTCCATGCACTCAGTACAGTTATGGGTGTTTGGTTTAATAACATTTACAGTGGTTCTGTGATGGTGTCAGTCAACTGCTTCAGGAATTTTGAATGTATCCCATTAAATCTGCGATTTGTCCACTTTAAGGTGAAATAGTGTCCTCCTCCTCTGTTGGTAAACCATGACCTTTCGGCACCAGTCCAACAGAAATTGAGATATCTTACCAATTGTCTTCTTTACAAATACGCTGTAGAAGAAATTTTGAAATTATCTCGACACTGTCACGATGCTGATCAATACTCATTGAGTTTTAATTGTTGTGGTCCATGTGAAGATAGCCAATATCTGCGTTTTTTTTCAATTTATATACTGCAATATTACATTGGAATGTTTTCTTTTATTTCCTTGCATTTTCTTGTTGACAGTACCGACGTAAAAATTGCTTTCGTACTGTTTTAAGCGCTAGAGAGGTGTTACGTTTCTGTTTTGCTTTGGTTTAATTGTCCATTGGGAACTTGAACGCCTTTTTCCTCCTGCTCTGACATATCTAGTTGGTACATATGTATCCTTAGTTTCTAACATACTAAAGTCTATTTGGTGTTCACGTCCGTTATAGGTTAGAGAGCTTCGCTATTCCAAAAGGTTCGATTTCGCCCTTGCTCCTTTAACATCCATTTGATGAATATTTTAGTATACAACACAAAAGAGTAAAAATTTGAAATATGAGAACATTTTCGATCATATGGCCGATAGCTATAGCGGTATTCATGGAAAACCAGCACAACCGATTCGTGCTTACAAAGGCATGACTTGTGAAAAAAATCCGTTCAATCCCGTAATAGTATAATAGTTACAAACCTGATGAACCCCATCGCGCAGTGTACACGATGGTGATCCCAATGGGACAGAGGCTGTGATGCAGATTGTGTTGATAATGTCGGTGCTTGTGTGTTTACTGATTCCAGAGAGTACTGGAGGTTTGCAAAAGTGTGGGCGTAATGATTATGTCTGGATGTGATATGGTGTTTCATAAACAATTTTACAATTCATAGCAAGTCATGGCAAGCTTAAATTAGTAAAAAATGGAAAATCAAAAGTATAATGTGCATGAGGGCATACGGACGGTGTCAACTAGAATAAAATTGCTGTAAATGTCATTAACGTTTAATGTATGTTCTGCGACAAAGTATTGATTTCGTCTTTTAGTACGTAACGTTAAGCTATAATAACACGAGTTTAACGAACATATTAATAATAGTATTAATTAGTGATGGATAATTGGAAAAGCTTTGTATTACTAGAATACGGGCGACTGAATATCATAATGACAGGTGTGACAGAGGAACGGTTCATCATTTTGTTAGGTAAGCGACGCAGGTTTGGTTCCATCCTACGCACCAATAAACAATACTGTTAGTTCTATCACATGGGCACGCTCGTGCAGTTTCGTTTCCTGTCTCGTGGAACTGTTCCGTGCCTGGAAAAGTTAACATTCTCAAGGGCCATCATGTTGGGATATCACGATTGCTGATGCCATTTTTCCAAGGTTCGGGCTGTGTCTGTAGATTGATGCGTAATGTTCGACATGTCGGATTGTGTGGTTGTTCGTATGTTTCACTGGGGTTACAGCGAAGGGAAAGCATGTTAGACACTTCACAGGGACCATTCAGTATTCAAATCATAACCTGCTGCAACTTACACAGGAGATATGGACCCTGCAACAAATAGGTACATTTTCATTTTTAAAATGCCAAGCGATCAGCCATCAATGTGTCGACTTCCACTAAGATGACCAGTCGAACCGATGTTTTATGAATTAAACATTCACAAGTAATCCGGCAACGAAAACAAACACACGATCTACACTCTCTCGTTGAACACACGTTTACAACTTGATCAAACAGTAAGCAGCAGACTGGGACACTATGACGTTCATAAATATCAATCGGAAAAACGTCATAATGACGTTGACACTTATTTGTATGTACTTTTTCATCAGGTTATTTCCTGCTGACCAGTCACTGGACCCTCCTTATGTTAATTTTACCACCAACTTCACGTATCCTCTGGACATCGATATGGTCGAGCTTGTGTCGGACTACCGGAAGGGGTACATAAACAACGCTGACGTCATCAACCCTTTTCCATATGCGTTTATAAAGAACCCTTCCCATAAATGTAACCTGAGTGAAGCAGAGGTCAAAGTTCAGAATAAGGTCTTTGTTTTGTTTTTGGTGAAATCGGCTTACGAAAACAGACGGCTAAGAGACGCCATTCGACAGACATGGGGAAACGAGAGGTATCTTACACATTTTAACATTAAAACTGTGTTCACTGTAGGGCTTCCGAAGGCGAAAAGTAGGTTCGACTTGATAAAAAATGAGAGTGACCGAATGAAAGATATTATCCAAGTCGACTATATTGATACTTACTTTAACAACACTTTAAAAATGACGGCAGAGATCAACTGGGCTGTCAAATTTTGTCAAAATGCCAAATACGTTGTGTTGATAGATGATGACTACTTCGTATCGCCGGAATCTCTCGTTGGCTTATTGGAATATTCAGCCGAAGTAAGGAATACAAAACGTCTGTACATGGGACACAAGCATTCTAACTCTAAACCGAGACGGGAAAAAGAAAGCAAGTGGCACGTGTCGTATTCTGAGTACCCCTTTGATATGTATCCAGATTTCATTAACGCCGGAACGATCATAATGTCGATGGAATTTGTTATTGAGGCCCAAATCGCCATGATGTACACAAAACTGTTTCGGCTAGACGATATCTACCTTGCTATTGTGGCACGGAAGCTGCGTGTGTCTCCATTAGGAACGAAACGTGTGTTTGGTACCAATGTTATGCCATGGGATAGATTTAATTTCGAGTTGCTCGCCACGGCTCATCATTACAAACCGGCAGACTTGCAGTGGCTATGGAGACGACGTGGGCGTAGGACACATCGTGACATGCTACCATTATCAATCTAGAACTCTGCATCCAGGACAAAAACATTTCTGAGAACGATGGTATTCATGGTTGTGCCTGACGGTATATTTGCTACATTTTGGTTGAAGAAATGAACAATGATATGAATATCTTAATTTTCGCAAGAGAGTAATTCACGATCGATGCCTTGGTTTAAATAAGAGTACCTGTTTATAGCATTTGAAATGTTAGTGATTTGTGGATATCGGATTTAATGCCAGGGGTGCAGAGCGCGAAAGTGAGTGTAATCCCTTTCCTATCGAGGTTGTGGAGTAGCAAGCTAATCATCGTTAATACACAAATTGTAGCAGAGTCATATTTTATTGTATTTCATATTAATTAAATACTCTGTGTTATATTCTATGTTGTGCCCAGCATGTTATTTGTATGTGTTGATATTATGACGTACATGTCCTGTGGTGTGATCCTTACCTGTGATGTCTACCTGTCTTTACCTGTATAATATCCCATGGAGTGGTTATGTAAGGTCCAGTGTGTTATTGTTTATAATCTATTTTCATTGGTCAGATATTTTGTATAGATTTCTGTTTTTATTGGTCAGTCATATATTGGTCACTTTTGGCGGGATTTCATTGTGTCAGTTTTGTGAAAGATTTTGTAAGAGAGCAGACATGTTGATTTGGACACCGACAAATACATCTTTTGACAGTAAGTTTTCTCTATTATCTAATATTAATCATTTCTTCACATTTAAAGTAAATTGGGCTAGGGTTCTAGTTAATTTAAATATTTTGGTAGTTTCTAAATAATTGTTAAATGGAAATTATTTATAATTATGTGAGGTTTAAAGAATTGACCAACTAATATGTATTTCTTATATTTAGTGTATTTCATGTTTGAATCCTCATGACTATTATTACACTAGAAAGAACAACGATGTTTATTAGAGTATTTATGTTGAATGGTTCGCACCCATCAGTCAAGCAGCAAGCTATGTAATAGTACGATAGTCAATAAAAACCAGAAAGACATAATGATTGAAAATGGCCGTTTTTATTAAAACGACATAACATAAAAAATACATGTACGACATAACATAAAATACATGTTACAATACATGTATTGAACACCCTCCTGAGAAGGTGTTCCATAGACTGCATTTCATAATCAAATGCAATGCCATTCTCCTAATGACTATAGTAGGTGAGTATATATATCTATATATTGACTTTTACCATTTTTAAGAAAATGGTTTTATTTTATTTATAGATCGAATTATTCAGTACTAAGTGATTAGCGGTTTGATGACATCGGTTTCCTAATTCCTGGCTCGGTGCGTGATATGTACATTTTGAATAATTTATATTTCCATGAAAGCTATATTCTTACTTTAGTTGTTAAAGTTAGGTTTATCATTTTCTTTCTTATTTCTTTTGAATTAATTGGTCAGTAGATTACTATGTAACTATTTGTAATGATATATAATTGAGAAACAATGATTGTAAAATATTGTAAAATAATTGCCATGTATGCTGTGTGATTGTAACGGTATAAAATCGTAGGCAGTACAGTAATTAGTTTGTAAGAGTTATGTCCCTTTAGTATATGTATTGTACTTGTGATTCGTTGTGCTAAATCAGGGATGTGTATATGTAGTGGACTACATATCCCTGGCTAAATGTAGTCTTTTGTGTTTGTTTACAGAGTGTATGTATCTACCTATACACTAGGATGTTGAACCATGTTATATCTGTGCTGTGGAAATGGAATAAATATGAATCTTAAAGAACTCTTGGTTATTTGTAAAACCACCCCGCTACGATAATAACATAACAAGCTAGTTTATCTTTATAAAAGAATACAGTTGTAATGTATTGCATTGTTCACTTGTTTGTCTATGTAACGACCGTGTATACCGGAAAATGTTCGCCCTTTATCGATAAATACCACTTTCGGCCAATATTAAATTCGCTCTTCATATTTAATAACTATGTATATTATGCTGTTTACACATGTTCGCTGAATAATAATTTCGCCCTTTACGGAGGGAGAAAACGGCGAAAATTTACCGGTATACTGTAGAACATCATATACAAAGACAAATGTCCGGGAATTTTGAAAATGATGGCAGATTTATCTGGTAATGCGCGTAAACACATCATGAAAATGTGTGTACAATCTTATCAAATATCCCCGTGTCATTGCCAAAAACTGTTTCTTCGCATACGTAACTGATTGTTTTTCTTGCATGATCGTAGCTTTCATAAATCATGTCTAAAAGTAAAAAAAAACATATACTGCAGGAGTTTTATGAAAACATAACAAAGATGAAATCTATTGTAATCAACATTAGTTTTCTGAGTATGAAAATCCAGCAAGACCAGGCGTGGTGTCGTATCCTACAATAATGTGCCACAGTTATATCCAAAACAAAATTAAAGGAAGGCTACTGTATTTACAAAAAAATAAGACTCTTAGCTCTAAATAGAATGCAGTTCGATACTTATGTTTAAACTTGTATTCTTTTTGTTTTGTTTTGCATTTCGTATGCCTTATATGATAGTTTTGATTATACAAATATTTAACATTTGTATTCAATTTAACGAAGCCCTGATTGTTATCTCATAAGAAATCTAATTTACATAAAACACTTGTACAAAATATTTCCAGATACTCGTTGCATTTTGCTATCTCTATCAAAGCCGAACTCCGGGTTTACTGAAGCAGCATTGGGATTACATGTATAATTTTAGTACGAGTATGTAGGGGAAATAATTTCGACAACGTCATGGTAAGGAACATTAGGAGAAATCAATTTGCCATGCAGTTAGAATGACAAGTAAACCGTATATATTGTATGAATACCGTTAATGCCTACATTATATATGAATTATAGATTAATTCAGTAGTAATAAAACTGTCAACAACCCTCGATTGCGGTGTTTATCGCTGACATCATGTAAAGCAGAGTCTAATTTCTTCTCTGGGATGTCTCCCTCGACACGTTTGCCAGTTGCCAGAATCATGTGACGGAGTAGAGAATCATGCTGTTGTGTCAAGTTTTTGACATTTCAGTGAGCATAGCTTTGAATGCTACGTATGCCAACGAGTAGCCCCATCACCTGTGAACACTGTCAGTATCATTCTCAAAATCCCAAGGGTAACGCTGCCATACGTTATTGCATCCCTTCAATATAGGTCTGTGGAATAGGTCCGTTTTAGGGTGATCTAGGGAAAAAATTACTATGTTATCAAACTCTTCTGATTTTAACTCATCAGTGTCTCTAGTATGGTAGAAAAAAAAGTCCTGAAGGATTCCGTATGGGGAAAAAAATTGCGGCCATTTTTAAATTTTGTCAAAATGCCAAATACGTTGTGTTGATAGATGATGACTACTTCGTATCGCCGGAATCTCTCGTTGGCTTGTTGGAATATTCAGCCGAAGTAAGGAATACACAACGTCTGTACATAGAACACAAGCATTCTAACTCTAAACCGAGACGGGAAAAAGAAAGCAAGTGGCACGTGTCGTATTCTGAGTACCCCTTTGATATGTATCCAGATTTCATTAACGCCGGAACGATCATAATGTCGATGGAGTTTGTTATTGAGGCCCAAATCGCCATGATTTACACAAAACTGTTTCGTCTAGACGATATCTACCTTGCTATTTTCACCTTTTTTCGCCAAAAATGAAGAACGAGAATATATTGCGGTTAGATGAAAGAAAAATCAGACTTTTGATATTTTCTTTGATATTAGAGTGCTGCAAATATGTTAATTTATTACACATAACTCTATATCCTACTTTGACAAAATTAATTGGCTCTGGTATTGGCATCATATTTCATAATCCAAGATGGCTGACAATATCCGGTATATTATGATAATATAACTTAATATTGCTTGTAACAAGTATTTTCATTGGCTTAAAAATGTATCAGCCCATAACGTAAAAAATGAAAAAAAATCAGACCCACCGTTTTACATAATTTGTTCCCCTTCTTCCAAGAATGCTTCAGCCCAAATATGGAACAAATCCTTTCATTCCTACAGAAGAAGAAGGATTTTAAAGAATTTGTTATATTACCCCTATTGGGCCCCGCCCCTCAGGCCCCAGTTCCCCTTCCCCCAAGGATGCTTCTGACCAAATTTGGTCAAAATATGCTCAGACGTTCATGACTAGTAGCGTTTTAAAGGAAAAGTTGACGGACGCCGGACGGACGCCGGACGCTGCGGTATGCCATAAGCTGACCATGGTACTTCGGACCAGGTGAGCTAAAAATGTCTCAGTCTGGTGTCGGGGCCAGGGGAAACTCGGGCTAAACTTTCACTTACTTGGTTACGGCTAACCTCGGGGACAGTCCTGGTAAACAGCAGAATCACAAAAATACAAAAGAAGGAAGCGTGTATTTTAAAATTTAGTAATATTAAAAGAAAGTTAATTAAAGAAAACAATTACTGAATCATACTACCATTCCTTTCAGTTAAGTACTCATTGGTTGTTGCAAGGATCAAACGAAAGAATAATCTGTGTCTAATTGTGTCCGAACAAAAAGGTACATGTAGTAATACAGAAGAAGGGGGAAAAGTGCCATACACATCTAAAAACTAAATGAATTGAATACATTTTCACATTCTTACAAATGAGTAAACGAATTAATGACTTCATCATTCTTTTACAACACCAACTCCTATTGAATCAACGCTACTAGTTTGATGTATGTATGAGTTTTTGTATACACACTACAATAAACTCGGCGTCTTATTCATTCTACTGCACCCACCGCAACATTTGGGATTTTTGTATTTCCTCTACTTTCTTCAGGCAACCTTTTCAGTTTCCTAGAACCTGGCTTGGAAATACGGCACCAATGCCTTGGTGTTGAACGTTCGCCGAAGTGAGGAAGGCAATGGGTTCTTTTCCCAGGTTGGGACATACCAAAGTCGTTAAAATAGTAGTTGTTATTCCCTGCAAAACTTTCAGTATTAAGGGTAATTTACCAACTGACTAGCATGTTGTCAGTTTAATATAACCGGGTGGAATATAGTACATTACACACACGGAGTCACGTCCTTCAATGACGTTTACCGTTAATAAGACGTTAAACCCAATAAACCCAAACCAAACTGATCTGACGTGTGTGCTTTTGTATAAAAACTCCAATTTAATCATCGTCACTACTTTCACGTGTTTACTTATTTATGTACACAAGTTACAATTATACCAACAATACATATGGTTGCGCAGACGTGACATCCATATCAGGGATCCATATATCACTTCCAAAAAACTGTTACTACGTATTGGCAATTGACCCCACTTTGTTGATGAGACAAGAAAACGATCTTTTGATGTATATTTTGACGTATATTGATGTATATCAATTTGATGTATATTGATGTATATCAAAAGAATCTCCCGGTCGCGTAACGGTAAAAACATTACTTACTTTGAAGTCGGGTGTAACGTTTTAGACTAGCGTTTGGTAAGCGATCTTTTACCTTAGACCCATCAAACAGCTGTCTTTGTGCCTTCAATTTTGCTATGACATATTCCAGGGGTGCAGAGAGCGGAAGCGAGTGTTACCCCTGGAGTATTGAGGATGGCATTACTGCAGCTTAGACAAAGCATGTCCAAAGAGAAACAAAATCTTGGGGGCCTTAATAAAGGTAAAATTAACAAAATATAATCACCAATACTGTTCTCGAGAGTATAAAATCATCAGGGCTAGAATGGGAATCGAACTCCAGTCTGACTATCGCCGTTACCAATTGAGCTTGATCAACGGATGTGTGCTTGCCAAACTGTGTTACAGTCATATCCAAAGTAAGTCCACAGTGCAGTTGGACAAGGACCCTTAAAATATCAGCGATTCTAATTATAGATCAATGGGAATTAAGCCTGCGACGCAGCCTCCACGGTTACATCATGATTCAGCTATAAGGACCTTCCTGACCTTATTGTTGCAAATTTGAATTGATTTTTCCAAAACATAAACTCCCTACACACCCTTAATTTAATGTGATCAATTAGAATGTCATTTATGTTTATTTTAAAATCAGCAAGTTAAATGGAATCGTTCATTATGCTAACTAGAACACTGACATTTGGACTTCAAAAAGAATCGCAAGGAAGCAAAATATACATTTTACATGTACTATGATGTGCGTCTTGTTTCCTTCCACCTCCATATTTGCTGGGCTAACAGAAATGTAAATACCGGTGCGATACTCATTTGTTAGCTTTGATTTGTTTTATTTAACCTTTAATACCTCCTACATCAAGAGCCAGGGTCAAAGTCAGAGATCCACTTTGTCTTTGACCTTTGGACCCAAATGACCTTGACCATTAACCCAGTGACCCTGATTTTTGGTCAATTGACTTATTCTTTAGTTCTGACCAACTTTGCTTCTTAGTATCATAACAAAATGTTCATCAGTGAAAAATACAAAACTTGACCTTGACCCTTTGGACCCCGTTACCTGGACCTAAGGTCAGTAGACTCTGTGCTAAGTTCTGAACAACATTGCTTCATAATGTCATAACAAAATGTTCATCAGGGAAAAGGTACAGAATTTAATCTTCACCTTTGACCCAGTGACCTTGACCTTTGGTCAGTTGACTCATTATTTAATTCTGAGCAACATTGCTTCAAAGTGTCATAGCGAAATGTCCACCAGTGAAAAGATACAAAAGTTAACCTTGACCTTTGACCCAATGACCATGACCTTTGATCAGTTGACTCCTTGTTTCATTCTGATCAACTTTGCTTCATCATGTCATAACAAAATGTTCATCAGTGAAAATATGCCAAAGTTGACCTTGACCTTTGAATCTAATGACCTTGACCTTTGACCTCAATTTTTTACCTCAGTGTGTCTCTTTGTTTAATTCCGATAAACTTTGCTTCATAATGTCATAGTGAAATGTTCACCAGTGAAAAGCTACAAAATTTGACCTTGACCCCTGACCCGATGACCTTGACCTTTGGTAATTTGACTCCTTGTTTAATTCTGATCAACTTTGCTTCATAATGTCATAACAAAATGTTCATCAGTGAAAAGATGTAAAATTTGACATTCACCTTTGAACCTAATGACCTTAACCATTGACCTTGATTTTTTAACTCAATGTGTATTTTTGTGAACTGAACATCTTGACCAGGTTTCATGTACATCGGTCAATAAATACCAAAATTATCAGCCAGGAACAAAATTTGTGGACGGACAGACAGACAGACAGACAGAGTGATTACTAAAACTAGGTTCAATAAAGCTGACTCTCTTCAATTTGGAAAGCATACTTGACTAAGTTTGCCTTAATAATAAAGATCCTGCATTTCAGTGTATCAAAACGGTCATTTCACATAAAATATTGAAACATTATACGATTATCAATGTATTTTGTTTTGTTGCGTATTTTTTGCGATGGACAATGTTTGGCAACTGTTTATCCAGGATACCATTAAATCAGCTGAACATAGTTTTGCTCGTGATAGAGTTTATGAAGGCTACATACAGCCGCCAATGAAAACGCTCGTCACCAATGTTACATTAGTTGTCTTCTGATGATGCGGTTAATCTTTGTGTCTCGATTTACAAAGTCTCTTCCAGACAGAACACATTTTTGCGCAACATTCCACCTTTTTAATAACGTTATTTCGGGAGATGTTAATGGCTTCAACGATTGGTTGTAAACAACGATAAGATACCCTCCCTTACGGTTTTTTGCACCCCCATGAATATGTTATGACACAGTCGAAGGCATGCAATTAACTACATAATTTGTTTCAGGCTTTAAAAATGATAACTTACTAAGCTGATACCAGTCCTTTGAAGATTATAGAGGAGGGACACTCGACTTCAAAGCTCTTGTCTTATTACAAAGGGAACTCGGGCTAGTGGAATTTCTTCTGGTGTTGTTTACATGAAGTAGTGGTTAAAATATATGATCTGTTCTAAACCGAGTTTGTGAATTTGTCACTTCGGTGTTTCGGAGCACTTATTTTAGTACCACTTATAAGTCGTAAAAGGAAGAAAAAGATCAATTGTAAGGTTAATGATTTCTTCCCTGTTATCTGAATCGGCTTACTATGTTTTGAAATGTAAGATTTAAACTTCGTTTTTCTAGCAATAACTCATTTAAAAGAGGTAGAAATTGTTTTTCTTTGAATACATGATTTGTAAGGTTGAAGAATTGTACTCGTTTTAGTACTCATTTTGTTACTTTCAAAGGACTAAGAAATGAATTGATATGTAATTTATTGCAGTATACTTATTGTTGTACATTTAATTGGGTACCCGTTTGTTAAAATTTAAAAAAAAAATGCATTAATTGATATATATTAAAGTGTATGTTTCAAGTGTATCTATCGGTGTATATAAATATAAATTGATTTCATTTCTTTTTGCGTTTACAGTACAATACAAAACAATGAGTAGTTGTTGAAATAGAATTTGGAAACAAGTTGTTCAACTGATGTATTTATTTTGGGGCATATTTGTTAGAATCAATAAGTGTATTAATTAGCATATTTGTTTTAAACAAATGATCAATTTTTGCTATTGAGATACATGTATATATTTTGTACCCATTTCTTAAAACGAATAAGTGAAATAAATGTAATTGATATATATATATATTTAGGTGCTTTTTAAGTGTATCTGTCGATGTGTATTTATTTCGGTACTATTTACGTCCTCGTTTTAAACAATAAAACGATAGTTTCGCTATTGAAATACAAATATTTGGGCAGTCATTTGAAAAAAAGACGCGTATTTACTTAGGTACCTATTCGTAAGAATGATGAATGTACTATTTATGATCGTACTCATTTGAAGAATGAAGGAGTTAATTTAGTTAAGTAAATTGATTTTGGATATCTTTTTGTATATAAGAAGACCTGTATCTGGGTAAAGTAAGAATAAAAATTTGTATATATTTTGGTATTAATTAGAAAGAGAGAAAAAACTTGTATTTGTTTCATGTCTCCCTTGAAAAATAAATAAGTGAATACATCCGGGTGTTCATTTGTAAAATCAGAAGACGTGGATATATTTTGGGAGTATTCGCCAGAATGAAAAATTAACTTATTTTTATAGATAATTATTTGTGCCATTAAATGGGGTGTATTTGGGTTCTTATTTAACAGCTGCGTCATACAATGCACCTCGTAGTTCATTTTTAACACAGTGTATCTATTACCTAATGTTACAGGTGCAATCACATGTGTATCACTTACGTTCAAGGTGGTCGACCCTGCTGGTGGATCTCTCTTAATCCCACACCTCGTATCTAAGAAACAGCTCAGATCCTCGTCCTTTTGCTTTAACCAGATATATACTTGCTATGGTAGAAAAGACAAATAGACTTCAGTTACCAGGATTGGCGCCGAGTCAAAACATTGAAAAAAAATCCCCACCTCATAGTAGCCATATACAATGTACTATGCGTGTAGAGCAAACGTGGCCATGCTACCAGGATTGGTGCGGCCACTGGGCATTGTGTTAAAACAATGAAACAGTTGAGATCCGTTCCCTATATTGTATGAATAGGTGAATATATCCATACTAACAGGATTGGCTCAGACCGTACCACGTTTGAATTACTCTCTAGGTCATAACGTCTAGAACGGTTGAGATCACCGACCCATAACCACAAATACAATTGCTAGGAATTCAGAAACAAATATGCTTATGCTACCCTGATTTCCCCAAGATCCTGAAGTCCCCAGGGAACTTAGTCATTTTGTTAAAATATGGACGGTTGAGACATCCACCAAACCACTATACAACAGTTCGCTATAAATGAAGATGTGAATACAGTCGTGCTTTCTGGATTTGTCAAGGGGTCAGAATTATAACTGTATACACATATGCAAGAAAACACTGAAATATTCTTTGAAGTATCCCATGTCCTCGAGACCTTGGAATCAATTGTTGTTTGGAGAAAAAAATATCTCCCCTAGGGGATGAGATACAAGGACTAAAAAGGTAATTTGGGTAAAAGCCTACTCCTCCTGACCAATTTATCATATTTCAACCAAATTTGACATGGAACCAGGGAATACAAATCAATATCAAAGAACCGTTTTGTCCCCTTGGTGCTAGCAGGCAGAGCCGAAAAGGGGGAGATTTTTCTGAATATATATTTATAAGAACTTATGAGAATATTTTTTCAAGTATTGCTTATATATTTAGTAGGTGAATCACACGGGCCCTCTAGGCCTCTAATTTTGCAGATTCTACAATTGTGCTTTTTTTACTGACCTGGAAGAGCCAGAATGGCAGAAGGGATTTTGACTAAATCCATGATACATATGTATGTATCCCCCAGTCAAAAATCGGGATTTTCAACTTTCTATAAGTTAGCCAGGCCATATAAACAAGATAATCAAGAGTCAAATCTGGGGGTTTTCTTCTTTTTTTAACTTTTGTTCTCAATACTAAAATATCGTTGCACACCTAAATATTTTTAGCACTACTGTGGCCTTCCTCAGTACACCTGAGACTCGCCAGGTGTAATTATAAGGTCCCATTCAGACACGAGACCTCTGAGTCAAGTATACAATAAGCATGTGACTGCAATGCTGAGCTATCAAGGTAACTATATCTAGACATAATGCAAGCTATTAGGTCAAGGCCAATACCATCCTCGATATCTAGGGGTAACGCTCACTTTCGCTCTCTACACCCCTGGAATATGTCATAGCAAAATTGAAGGCACATGGCTAGCTATTTGATTGGTGTCGGGTAAAAAAAACTGACCAATCGCTTGGCTGATACCTGCCCTTTGAAGATGACGGAGGAGCGACGCCCGACTTCAAAGCCAATAAGATTTACCGTTACGCTATGACATATTCCAGGGGTGCTGAGAGCAAAAGTGAGCAAAACCCCCGGATATCATGGATGGGCAAATACCAACACTTGCATTGTAATGTACCGTTCAACCGTTTCTCCTTATAGGATTTATGTCCCTTTGTATTTGGAGCAATGTACATGTTCTAAAATTGTGTGTTGCTTTCATTTGCCTAACAGCATATAGCATCAAGAAAAGGTCAGGGGCTTCATAAGGTAAATATGTGTGATCCTTTAAAGCAAGAAACACAACAAAAATATATATCCATGTACAAACGCTTTTAAATCACATAAAAGAATACAATTTTCACCAGTAGTGGAAAATATTTAATAAATAAATCACCTAAAATCTAGATAGAATTAAATTATAAATACATAGATGTTGTGAAAAAGTATTTACACACACAATGGACTGCATGACTAGTGGATCTGATACTGGTGTGAAACAGCAGGAAGCAAAGGTTCCCTGCAGGACAGCAAATCAAAACCATACAGTGAAAATACTCAGGATCACAAAGTTTGCGTAAAATCCAGCTGGATTACCTCCCCTTACACGTCTGGAGATATAACCTAATGGGCATTACTGACGATTTCATACAGAATGTTGTAATGGTATTGATGTTTCTGGGTTTTGTTTTGTTTTTCTCAAACTATATATGAACTTATTCTTTACACACATAAATGATAGCAATTGACCTGATGGTTTTTTTTGAAACTGAATGAAAAAAAAAAAAATACATGCAAAATATACCTGAAACATGATAAACATAATGTCTATCACAATATAATGTAGATTATATATCATATGCCAATATATATCGAATCATCTATCTATATCATTGTTCGTTTCCCTATTTACAATTTTAGTAATATCATTTCAATTGATATTGATATTTCTTTTTACATGAAAATCTAGACAACACAATACGTACACAACAACAAACAAACTGATCACAGTTGTAAATATAAACAAAAAAACACACGACATGTACTTCAGGTAGCGGTGATAAATCTTATTGGCAACAATTGAAGAAGGAAATTTAAAATTGTTTGTTTTCCATAACATTTATGTAAAACCTTAAATGGTCTTTAAAAAGGGTATAAGATCAATATCAGAGAAGACTATCTACATATTTATCATAAGACAACAATTATTTTCAGCTTTTTTGTAGATTGACATATATCTGTATGACAGTTTCTTAACAAAAATAAACACTTTGTAGTTATAAAAACCCATTTTGAATTGTCTTTTTAAACATCTACATATCACTTCTCTTTTTATATCTAATTTATGCATATTACTGGTCATCTTAGCTGTTCCGAAACCTTTGCCCATCAACAATTTCTTGTATCAGACTATCAGAACTTTTATAAGAAACAGTTATCCTTGTAACATTGCACTAGTTCTGTACCAGTCCATTGTACAATAAAGTGACATCATCAGATCATCGTTAAAGTATCACAGAATTGACTCTCAATAGGGGGAAATCTTCGGACAAACATATTACAAACGAAGAAACAAATTGGAAGCTGCACCATAATCTCTCTTGGAACATCAAAATTTTGTACAGACAACATCAACACAATTCTCTATAACAGATTTTAACTTTTATCAGAATTTCTAAATTGAAACGTTACACTTGTTTCAGCATAGTAAACTTCAGAAAGAAAATAACATACATGTACAAGTACTGTAGAAAAAGTCCTGTTTACAAAACTCTAATCCATATGCTTTTTAAAACAAGAATATTTTGCAAGGAAATAATTTAACTTTTAGTTTTAACTTAAAGCACCACAGAAAAGTACAAGTTTAACATTCAAAATTCTGTTTCTGCAAATATTCCTAAAAACCTGTGGGAAAATTATTTATATTCAAATTTGATACAAAATCTCAATTTACAAGAAAATAACAAATATTCACAAAAAAAAGTTGACTTTAACATTCACATCACAGATATCTGACTTAATAAGGTTTTTTAAACAATTATAAATAAATAGTAAATACATGTACCAGTAAAGAATAAATTAATGATTCATACAGATTTTTTAACTTCCAGCCATACAAAAAAGTAACAATGTTGTAGAAAATTACACGTACACATTCACCTTAGATCCAAAACTGACTTAACACAAGTTTATAATTAATATGTGATGAAGTATAATTTTAAGGATTCCAAACATCAAAAATGTTTTAAACATTTTGCAATATAAATACATAAATCATCATATGTTTTAAAAAACAGCAATTTCAATTCATAGTGCTAAAAACCTTTTTCGAAAATTTTGAAATTTTCATTAATAAAAAAGTTTTCAATGTGTAACATGGTGACTTTCACTTACATGGAAAATTGTTATGATAAAGGAGAGAATTGCTCTCCAAAAACCTTATGTAGGAAATGAACTTCCACTATTATTCTTATAATAGTCCAGTTAATTAGATAATTTACACATCAACCAAAAATGTTCAGACTTACTGTATTTGACCGCAAATAAGCCCCCTCACGCAAATAAGCCCACTCCCCATTTTTGGCAAATGTCCTGGGAGCAGGGTTGGTGCCTGCAATTAAGCGCCCTCCCTAATTTTGGTCTAAGCTTTTTCACTAGGGGTGGGGGCTTATTTGGGGTCAAATACGGTAAAAGAATTCATCTGTGAAATACATACATGTACAACCTTTACTCAAAGTATCAACTCAGGCATGAAGTAAAAACTGACAACTAAAACAATGGTGAAGTATAAGTGATTTTAACACAACAAAAGTCTTATAGACTTAACATTTTCACAAATAATTCTGTCATGCATCCGTTATCAAATTCCATATACAAGTATCAAATATATACATGGCATGCTTATACGAAGATGTGTAAATTATAAAACATTGCCTAGCTATAATATACTACACAATTACTAACCTGCAGGAGTACCAACCTAGCTTGACTTTTTATCTATCAACCTGCAGGAGTACCAACCTAGCTAGGCTTTTTATCTATCAACCTGCAGGAGTACCAACCTAGCTAGGTTTTTTATCTATCAACCTGCAGGAGTACAAACCTAGCTAGGTTTTTTATCTATCAACCTGCAGGAGTACCAACCTAGCTTGGCTTTTTATCTATCAACATGCAGGAGTACCAACCTAGCTAGGCTTTTTATCTATCAACCTGCAGGTGTAAACTTTTCAACCTAGGCTATAAAACTGCCAACTTGCAGGAATACAATTTTCACTTTGGCTATATATAGCTTTCAACCTGGGAGTAAAATGTTCAACCTTGGCTATATATAACTTACCTGCAGGGATACAGTTATAAACCTAGGACATATATTACTATCAACCTTGGCTATATTCACATCTAATAATCCTGCAACAGAACAAATTTCAACCAAGGCTATATACACTCATTTACCTCTAGGGGTAAAATCTTTCGATCTAGTCTTCTACCAACCTGCAGGCGTAAAATGTTCAAACTAAGCTACATGTTTATATAACTGCCAATCTGCAGGAGTAAACATTTTAACCTAGGCTTTTCAGCCTACCAACCTGTAGAGGTACAAATTTCTACCTTGCTAGGCTATAGCTATAGCTATGTAATGACTATCAACCTGCAGGGATGGCTCCTGTAGGGGTAAAGCCTAACCTAGGCTACCATGGACTAGTAAAATCCAGAAGGATGCACTAAAAATCTAACTTCCATGAACATTTTAGCTATAAATGCATATCTCATTTGGCTTACGCTTGGCTAACAATTTGTTAAAAGGTTCTTTTGCAATAGAGGTTAATTTGGCATGATAATCTGGGCTAGCAATCGACAAGTGTCGAACTGGCCATCCCAACATACTGACTCGGACCAAGGCCCTTCAGTGTACCAAAGTCTGTAACAGTGTGGCGCGTATCGGAGGAACTGCCGCGCGACTTGTTTGATCGTGCAGAACGATTAGATTTGGCAGAGTGAGTATCGGAAGTTGATGAACTGTTATTCCACTCCCGATCTTTAGTGTCTATCCCAGAATCCTCAGACATGGGTGAACCATTGTTTCTATAATTAGCGGCCCAACCAAGACCTTTGGCCTGAGCTGCAGCCAAATAACGTTTGCGGCGATTCATTTTGTAGATACGTATCCTTTCTTCCTCTTCTTCTTCATTTTCTAAAACCTGATCCCAGCGTAGACTCTCTGTGACGCGTTTACTTAGAGTAGTGACACTTGCACTTTTGGGCATTTGAGGCTTGTTGCCAGTTCTTTGCCCCCTGACGCCACCCTGAGGTATACGGTTGGTCAGTTTGGCCGAAGCTTTCTGTGGCCTGGCAGACTTTTGTTGTGTGTTGGTTGGATCGCTTGGAGATGGAGTTGGTTGGGGAGGTTTCACTATCTGAGGTAATGTATTAGCACCGTCCATCACCTCGCTGACATCCTCCCTCGGCGAGTCTTCACCCTCACCCCTGAGGCTCCCCTCGTCCCGTACACTCTCGCCACTCTCCTGGATAGTGGCATACTTGGTATCGGGGGAAGCCCTCTTGGAATCTCCTGTAACACAAACAGAAAATACATCTGTAATAGAGGTCATTATTTATTTTTTCAATGCCTCCGCTAGGAGTCGAAACCCAGGACCTCTGGTTTACTAGTCTAACGCTCTTCGGAACGAGCTTAAGAGAAATTCTCCCTTACTGAGTCGGTAGGAAGCAGCTAGTATTTTACCAGGATGACACATGTATATGCAATATATAAACAAGATTAGAAACTCTTTCATATGCCTGTGTATAAGACAGTAGAATAATCCACCCAAGTTGCTTTGAACTGGAGTAATGGCCAAGGGTTTTCACTCAAATTTCATAACCTCAATGTGGAATTTTCTTACATTATACTATGTGAAAAAGTATCTTTAGCTTTTAACTTTTAAAAAAACAAATTGTGGATACAAAAGTTTGTTTCTTGTGAAAATACTGACTCCCACAGTGATAGCCAGGTTAAACCACTGACATGATCAGACATATGGTTGCATGCAGTGCTAGCATTGCAAAATGATTATGCAGCTCAGCCTCTGTTTGTAAAATGTCATGAAAGATACAGTGATTACGCTGTACACCCACTCTACCTTCCCATCACTGCTTTCTTCCATATGATGGCTTTATCTGACACAAATATTCTGTATGACAGAAATTAATTGATCAAGTTGATGGAATTATTTAAATTTTAACTGATAAATTATGCATAAAAAGAGTAATCTGGCACAATATGGTTTAACATAATAATTATATTGACAATTTGGGGTTCCTATATACCGCTTTATCGCAACCTAGATTGTAGGTCATCTCAAAGCAGTTCACAAATTATTATCCATGGTTATGTTATAGGGCCTTTGCAACCAGCAAATATCTTTCTCAACTCCCTGGGGAGCATACAGCCCATGCTGCCATTTCAGCACTCACAGCTAGCATTCAACAATTCTAGCACTGCCCAACCACGTACTCATTTACAGCTGATCATGAGTAGATTGGAACAAGCGGAGTGAAGTATTTTGCTCAAAGATACAACACTGTGAGTGCCATGCCGTGATTCGAACCTGCAACCCTTCGCCAAGTTCTGTCACAAGCCCGGGGTCCTACCACAGGACTACCATGCCTCACACGGCAAATCTGCTTGTGTCAAGTACTGTTTATGTGATTTAACTCATTAGACTGAATTCTAGTTTGATAAATGGAAGTCAAAGTTCAAGGTAAAGGTCATTGCCTCATTTCAATCAATCAAATATGCCAGTTTGAAGCCAGTCATTTAATTCCAGTCCTGTGTAATTAGCTAGACATTACAAATTTTCCACATGTTTAATTTGATCAATATTGAATGGATCCTTTACACAAATGGTACACATTATTCTGAGTACATTAACATCACACTGTGACAATGATATATTGATTACATAGCTTTACTTTTCTCCACACTTTTCTCCACACAGTAAATAAGTCAACCCATTGAATTTATCATTCACATTGTTCTTCATTTGAAACCTGTCACTCACATTATACGTGTTTACAATATTGTTAATGTCAACACACCATCATTGCAGTTTGATTGTGTGTTTGTTCAGGTTTCACACCCACTCACTACAATAAAGTTATGTTGGGCCTAAATCATCTTGTCAATGCAGTTTCATGACCACAATACAGGTTTATACACAGCATAATATTTTTATATTTCTACCATAAATATTTGTCCAAAATAACTTGGGCATTATATCTATGAACTAGGTTTTAATGATATATATCAAGGAACCTGTGTTGTGACAGTTTAGCAATTTTTGAAAACACCTGACAATGTCTCTTGCCCAAGCAGCACACCTTAAGCTTCCATGCACCCATCAGCTTTGGGTCAGATCTTTAAATGCAAATAAGGTGTTAATTGTGTTCCAAAACATTTTATCAACCAAATACAAAAACAAAGCCAGATATTAAAGTGATTTGTTTATGAACAGTGACATTGACCATGTAATTCATGACCCTATACAAATGTTTGAGGTATTGACTGTATTTCAAATGTTTCATATAACTTTTCATCCAAACCACATGAAGATGAACAAAACCAGTTAAGTTATGAAAACGATTTTCTATTCATGGTAACAATCACCTTGACCTTGTATTCATGACCTTCAAAAATAACCATGTTTGAAGTATTGGACTCAGTCCAACTGTATACTAAATGCTTCATAAAACTTTTCATCCAAACCCTAGGAAGAATAAAGCCAGTTTGTAGAGCAACGACAAATATTTTCTATTTAAAGTAACAGTGACCTTGAACTTGCATTCATGACCCTGAAATGTAAAATCTCATTCGAAGTATTTTTATACAAAACACTTGTATATAGTTCTGTTGCGATAAAATGGGACATGAAGGCAGCTGCCAGATGATACAAAGCATGCAGTTTAATTAAAAAGAACTCAACAGACAGGACCATAAAATACCTTGAGTGTTATTCTGGTGTTCAGACAAACTAGGTTCAAGGATAATGTCATCCATTGCATTATTCATGGACTAGGTAGGTGTCAATTTTACTGTTATACACTACATAACAGTTATATGCAGTCAAACCAGATTTTATCATTTACAATACATTATATGAACAAACTTGAATTTTATTAAGCCCTTCATCCCTCCAGCTGCAACCCACAGGTAAACTATTTGGCTTGTTTGAGTTTTACGTTCTATTAAATTAACAGCTATGGTCATTTAAGGACGTGCCAGGTTTTGGTGGTGGAGGAAAACCAGAGTACCCAAAGAAAAACAACCAACTTAGCCTGAAGCCAGTGCCTGGAGGCTGCCCTACGTAGGCCTCGAACCCGCCTCAAACCCGCAACCCTGTGAGTGATGGAGGGCTAGTGATTAAAGACAGTCAGTCACTTAACCATTCAGCCACTGCAGTCCAACAAGTCAAATATCATAACTCTAGTCAATGCCATTCTTTAGAAAGTTTAACTAGTAGACCAGGAAAATGAGGCAAGTTGTATTTTTGGACTCGGATACCAATACTGAATATATCAGGGTTCAGTAGATTTTAAGATTTTCATATACATATATCTGAATCGAACCCTGAGACCTTGAATATTGGTCAAGGTCATATTTATTTTAATAGCTTGATAGCAGTTTCCTCCAGCAAGCTGCAGGCCAGGTATAGCATTAATCTAGTGCTCAGAGTTCATGAGAAGATGTTGTTTCATATTTTTGACACATTTAATTCCTGTGTGACCTTGAATGTATGTTAAAGTAAAGTGATGCCTGTAACCCCTCAACCAATCAATCTACATGCAAAATACAACTACTGAAGCCTCATTATTGGTTTATTAGAAGTTGTTTGATGATTGAACAGTTGAACCCATATGACTTTGAATGCAGTCAAGGAAGTTCATTTTAACAAATCTGTTATCCATTCACCTCAGCAAGCTGCATAACACTGATAGTGTCTACAGGTGTTGAAAGTGGGTCAAGGTCATTTACTTGAACTGTTGAAATCTGATAGTTCTTCACCCAAGCAAGCTACATGCCAAATACCCTATTATTATATAAGCATTATATGGTTCTTAACCCTTAGGCTGCTACGCACGACAATAGTCGTTTTGAAAAGTCGGGCCCGTCAGTGCTATGCACGACAATAGTCGTTTCTCGGTCTGTAGGTTTTGATCGGTAGCCAGGAAGTGTGAAGTCGGGTTGTTGCTATACCAAACCCGACCGCGTATAGTAGAAGGCTTCTGATTGGTTGTTTTGTCATTACTTTCGATATTCACAGCAGTGTACCCTAGTAATAACCAAAGGTGTGCGAGAGAATTTCAAATCGAAAAAAAAGTCATAAAAATGGCGGACGTGTAGATTGAAGCGACGAATATGATGGTAAACATTTATTCTCCATCGTCACCTACGATGATAATAAAGGTTTTGTAGGGTTTGGCATGGTTGATGTGGAAATACTTCGGTGTTACATAATATGTAACTTTCTAGTAAACGGCTTTGTGCTCTACGCAAACAGGAAAATATCAGCGGACCGAGGCGCACATGTCGTCTGCAGGTGAGGCCGAATTGAACATTGATACGTTTTGAAACGATTTATTTCTTCAAACTTTTTATCGGTGATTTAATCATAAACTAGACCGTAGCTAAGATATATCTATATGCCGACTGTGACAGTAAATTTATTGAATGGCGACCTGAAACCTGTAGCAAATCACATGCAATTCTTGACGAAATACCTGACCTTTTTACATGAGAATCTCCGTGTAAATATATACAGCATCTTATGTCAAAAATGGAGTTTATAATCTCTGTTATCATTTGCCAATCACATTTGCAGACGAAAATAATTTTAAAATGATCTTCCTCTTGCTTAAATCCGACTAATTAAAAGTTTCACATTTTCTTACCTTTATTACCACCTGTACAGGAAAATATTGAAGCAACTTTAGAATTGAAAACGTTAATATAAACTAGAGACAACAACGAACAATTTTCATATAACTTTTTTTCACATATAACAAATATTTTCCAAGTTATGCACATTTGAAAAATCAAGTAAATTAATTTAAATTTCAATAATTAATTCAGCAGTGGTGTCGGTTTACATAGAAATCAATGTAGCAGCCTAAGGGTTAAGAAGAAATTCTTTTTAAAGAAAAACTAAGGATGGCTATGGATAATGAATGTTGCTCCAAGGCATTATCAAGTGGGCTAAAAACAGCATTTGTTTTACCGGTAGTCAACAAGTGTCTGAAGCAAAACAAACAAACAGGGGAAGCACAGTTATAACACAAGAAACAGATGTAGAATTGGTTTGGTCTTATTTGTACCCTCAGGTACCATAACTATGTCAACATTATACAAAGTATTAGGTCACATCAACAATCGGATTCACTTGACAGCTATTTTGTAAGGACTTTTAAAGCTTCAAGTGTATCAACACATCTATCTCTATGGCTCGAACATTCCAGAGGAGATTCTGTGTATACATTTTTCTGACTGGGTTTTAAATCAACACAGTAGTATGCATC